CTTCCGAGACCAGAGATGGGACACAGGGACGGGGAAGGAGCCCAGCGCCCCAGGACTGCTCCCACCAGGCTCCCACTGCAGAAACGGGGTGTTCAGAGCCCACCCTGTGTGCAAGGTGGCTGTGGTGTCCCCAGTGCCAGGGCCACGTGTCCTGGGACAGAGGAGGGGTTTGTATTGACTTCCAGAGCCAGCCCCTGGCTCTCCTCACTCTCCTGTCCTCTCCCGCTTCTTTGTCCACGACACTGAAAGTCTGTACAGTGGAGACTGCACGTCCTCCCAGGAGCCAAGTGTTGGCTTCAGGGACTAGTAATAATTTTATCTGGGAAATGAGGCGAAGCCTTCATCCCTTGGGGAGGCAAGCTCACAGCAGTCGCAGTTGGTGAGGCTGTTGCTTTGGGGTCTGCTAGGAGAGTTCTCCATTCAAAACTTTCTCTCCAGCTGAGGTCTGGATTGATTAAATTTTTGAGAATTTGCTTCAACAAACAGCCCTTATTATCATTAAGCCTGAAATAGTAATCAAAAACTACAGCAAAATTTGAAAAGGCAAGGATTAGTTTGAAGAGTTTGTCCAGAGCTTCCTGGCAGCCAAAGTAAAAAGGGAAATATGCCCAATCACAGACTCATTGTCTGAGACTTTTTTGAGATTTTTTAAAATGTCATGGGCAGAAAGGCTGCCCTCTCCAAATGGAAATTTATTTTAAAATATCAAATTTGTGTTTTCAAAGAACAAATGCTGCCCTCACCCCCAGATGGGTCTGTATGTAACCTACCCCTTCTATAACCTATCCCTTCTCCCAGTCCATGGTGATAATCCCCAGCTTAGAACCGTTTTTGTGCCTAGAAGGCATTAAACATTCATCACCAGCTCTTGGCTTCTGTGTGGATGTCTGCATTGTCTTCCCAGCTCCCACCTCCTTTTGTCCCCAGAGCAGCCTGGCCAGGCAGGAGTCCCTCCCTCCTTCTGCAGGAGCATAAGTGCCCTGAGCCTGGTGGAGAACAGGGGAAGTGCTGGGTGCCCAATGTCCAGCTAGGGAGGGGTGGGGCTGAGGTTTGAGCCAAGGCCTTTAAAGTCCAAAGCAGGGGAGCCCGCCCTGCTGTGACCAGAGGCTTTCTGAAAAGGTGGCCTTTGTTCTGAAACCTAAAACACAGGTTTTCGTTAAGTACGCATTGAGGGAAGGGCACTGCATGAGGTGGGCCCAACTGCCACCCCCATGTGAGTGGACAAGGCGGGTGCTGTGTGGGAGCAGGGAATGGAAGTGAAGAAACCAGGCGGCAAAGCCATGCCAGGGAGCTCCAGCTGCGTCCTGGAGGCAACGAGGAGCCATAGATGGCTGTTGAGGGAGGCAGTGCCCAGGTGGGTTGGGAGCATGCTAGGAATGTGAGCCTGCGCAGCGTGGTCTGCCCTGCAGGTGGTGGCAGCTGGGGGAGGGATGCGGCCCTTCTTGCATAGGGTGGAAAGCTGCAGATGGCCACCTTTGGGGGCTGCCTTCCCTGGGGGAAGCGGAGAGTGGCCAGCTGCTCCCGTGGAAGTCAGGCTTGGTCCCAGGGACCTGAGCTTCCCTCTTCCCGCTCATTGGCCTGAGCCTGTTGCTTAGTAACAGGATCAGCGCTTCTTGCTGATGCCCACGCCTTCCCCGGGGAGGGGTGCACCACTCCTTCTGGGTGGCCAGCTCCTCCGCCGCACCTGAGCTTTCCATGCCGCTTCTGCCCTGGACTGCCTCCCCGACTGCTCTGGGGGGAGGGTCTCCTCTTGGAGAGCCCGCTGGGCGCCCATCCGGGCTCCCCTTTTCCAGGCTCCTCCCGGACTCTCCAGCTCTGAACCGGTTGCTGGTTGGAGCCGGTCACAGGGCAGCCCTCAGAGAGGCCCAGTGCCACTCCAATCAGGGCGCAGCTCTGAGCCCGGCTGTGAGGAATAGACCCCACCACTCACCACCTGGGTGCCCTGGGCACGCTGTGTCCCCTCTCCAGGCCTTGGGAATAGATGTGGGGTCAGCAGTGGGTGTGGGCGGTGGCCCGGAGGGGCAGCCTGGTGTGGCAGCAGCCAGGAGCTGGGAATGTGGGGCCTTGGACCGGGGCAGCCCTGTCCAAGCTGAGGAGCCCCCGTGGCCCGTTCTTGGGCTCGACTCCACCTGCTGGGGCCCAGCCCAGCCAGGACGGGGTCACACCCAGAACCTGGGATCACACTCGGAGCCAGGATCAGGAGACCCACCGAAGTCAGGAGGGAAGGGGCAGGGTCCTGGCATCCAAGGCCTCTGCTGGCTGTGTGCCGATGAGGGGCCGTCCTGTGGGTGGGTGGGTCCTCAGGCCTTCCAACGTGCATCCACCTGGGCTGTGGCCCTTGGAGCCTCTGTGTCTTCCGCCCACGTGGGGTTGCACTGTCCATGTGCTCAGGGGTGGGTGACGGGATCAGAGCCCTGGTCCCCCTTCTGGAAATGGGGTGAGCCTTTCTTGTGGCAAGGCTGAAGTTAAATGAGGGGGTGACGTGGAAAGATGAGGAGGGGCTGGGCCCCATGGGGGGAGCAGGCACGTGGGCTGCCTTGTGGGGTGCATCTGCCTTGTAGGGTGCTGTAGCCCCCAGGAAACAATGTCCCTCCTGGCTGCCACTCCCCACCCCCCAGCCACTGCGCTGCAGTCAGGGGATCGAGTCGCCAGTTCAGTGCAGAGCCCAGTGGGTGGGATGCACTTGAACCTTTTTTATCTCTCCCAGCAGATGCTCGCAGCCCCTCCTGCTTGGCCCCGGGCTCCTTAGAGAAATCACAAGCCAAGCCCGTAACATCTCAGGCATTTTAAAGTTAGAACCCAGTCGGTTCCCTGCCATCAAAGGTCAATCTCAGATTCGACCCAGACCCCCCTCCACTCCCAGTTAGATCTGAGGAGGACAGTGGGCGAGGGAGTGTGATCCTGCACCCCACTCCCACCCCGAGTCCACAGCTGGGGCTCAGAGAGGCCCCCGACATGTCCCGGGTCCCATGCGAGTTAGTGGCAGAGCCGGGCCTTTGAACCCGTGACCACGTCTGCTAGAGGAGGGGGCACTTGAGGGAAAACAAGGAAACTTTTTGGAAGGTTCTAGAAGGGTCATGCTGGGGAAGGGGCCCAGGTCCATCCTGTGGCTGTGATGGCAGAGCCAGGCCCAGGGTGCGAGGATGAGTGGATGGCAGGCTTTGGCCCTTCCAGGCCAAAGTGTGTCCCCCTTCTGCCCCCGGGCAGTGGGGACACACTCCCTCAAGGACGTCTGCACGTTGACAGCTGTTGTCGAGTGGATTCATCACAGAAGATTCACCTGTCATTTGCAAAGCCCTGCGAAGCTATGCTGAGCTCCAGATGTGTTTAGAAAATGATGATTGTGGTTTCCATGACAACAGTCCTCACACCTGGCTCTGGCCTCCACGTTCACGGCTCACTATTAGTGAGACCCTACCCCGAATCTATGGAGACAAGGAGGTGGTGTGGAGGTGCGGACCACGTCCCCCCTCGGCGGCAGGTGGCACGTTTGCCCGCAGAGCAGGGGGCTTCCCTCGGGGAATCGGCCCCTCAAGAGGTATCCCCCTCGAGACAACAGCGGTAATAGTTCGAGCGTTCAGCTCATGTACGCTTATTCATTCCTCAAATGCGTCCTTCACACCACAGGCCTGTCTCTGTTAGCTCATGACAGCTGCGTGAGGCTGGTACTGTTACTACCCCCATAAAATGCGCCCCTGTCTTAGTGGGCACAGAGACGTGAAGTGACTCGGTCACTGCCACACAGCTGGTGGGGGCAGCCTGGCTCCAAGGTCCGTGTTTCCAGCCACTGCCGTGCCCTGCCTCTCCCCAGGCCCGGCGTGGTCCAGGATGCTCCTTTGCTTTGCCCGTCTACGAAGACCTGGACCGAGGCTCCGAGCAGGCTTTCTCCACTTCAGCGCTGTTGACATTTGGGGCCTGACGATTCTTTGTGGTGGGGGCCCACCTGTGCCCTGGAGGGTTTTGAGCAGCATTCCTGGCCTCCAGGCCCCTGGGGCACGACCCCCACCTTCCACGCCCATTTGGGAGGACCAGAATTGTCTCCAGACATGACCAAAAGCCCCCGGGAGCAAAATGGCCCTAGTCGAGAGGCGCTGGCACAGAGCGTACCGTGTGTGCCTGCGGTCACCTGCTAGGTGAGGGCCCAGAGTCAAAGCTGCACGGGTCCAGCACTGGAAGGTGGTGTCGGCCCTGCTTTGCTGGGGATGGACTGAGGGGGCGGGAGGGGAGGGGTCTTGATGCCTCCTGAACTTGAGGAGGGAGCTTCCCCTTGGCTCCGATGCATTCAGGCGTTCGTTCACTGAGCTTTTCTCCACCGCCAGCCTGGCTGGGCTCCAGGATCCTGAGATGGCTGGGAGGTCCCCTCTTCCCTCCTAGCCCTGGACCCTGGGGTTTGAGCCTGTTCTTAGGGTCTTTTCCAAAGTTGCCAGTGGATTTGACGGTGTGGTAAATTAAGAAATCTAGGGTTTGACCAACAGTTCTGTAGATATTAAATATTTTTTATTCTTAAAGATAACATGATGCTGGGCTCTGCCCAGAAGGAGAGCAAATCGAGTCTGGCGAGCCCACCGTGCGTCGGGTGTGTCCCGGCAGCATCAGCACCTAGACGTGCGGGCTCTGCTGTCTTCATATGAGATGTGTCATTGAATGTGACTGCCCCGCCCCACCCCCCCGGCTGGAAACAGGGCTCCACACGGAGAGGAAAGAGGCTTGTCCAGTGTGACCCCGAGGAGTAGGGCCAGGATTGGAGCCAGGCTGCTGGACCTTGGGCCTCATTCTTTCATCTAGGGTAGGGGGGTCCCTGCCTGGCTGAGCCCAGGAGCTGCTGAGTCCCTCAGGGCACCCCCTGCTCGCCTCTGCTCATCAGGGCCCTTTGGGGTCCCCAAGGCCCCACCCTTGTCATGTCCCCGACACACACAGATATACACGGACATGTTAGACACACACACACACACACACACACGCACACAGACAAGACACATAGAGACACACACATGCACCCACACACAGACAGACACACGCAGAGACGGGTAGGCCAACATACAGACATACACACATTTATGCACAGACACAGACACACACAGACACACACACACAAATAGACTCACGCAGGGACACACATTCACACAGAGACACATACACTCATCCATACACATGACACATCACACACACAGGCACTAACACACGCATACATAGATACACTCCTGCACACACACTCCTGCACACAGTCACATACTGTTTGCACACAGACATGTCACACAAAGATACAAGTGCACATAATCAGACACAACACATGCACATAAGACCCACGTGTACGTACTCGATACAGACATGTGCACACACATGCGCATCCCAGGCAGATCATGCTGCCTGTCTCTGCCCCTGACGTTGCCCGGCCTGCTCCACCCCCTGGTCCTTCAGCACACGTGGCACTGACTGTGGGAGCCCCCGGTGTGGCTGCCCATGGCTGGAGGGGTCGTGAGGCAGCAGGGCCGTGTACTGAGCACCCGAGACCCCTGGGGGGGCTTGATCAGGGACGGGCGTGGCTGGAGGGGCAGGGGGGAGACCGGTCAGGGGCCCAGACCACGCTGGGGGCCATGGGAGGGAGAGCCCCCATCACCCGGGGCTGAAGGCGCTTCCTGGGGCCTGGCTCTGACCTGGGCTGAGGCCGGGAGCACGAGCGCGGGTGGTCAATGTCCACGCACACAGACAAGACACATAGAGACACACACATGCACCCACACACAGACAGACACACGCAGAGACGGGTAGGCCAACATACAGACATACACACATTTATGCACAGACACAGACACACACAGACACACACACACAAATAGACTCACGCAGGGACACACATTCACACAGAGACACATACACTCATCCATACACATGACACATCACACACACAGGCACTAACACACGCATACATAGATACACTCCTGCACACACACTCCTGCACACAGTCACATACTGTTTGCACACAGACATGTCACACAAAGATACAAGTGCACATAATCAGACACAACACATGCACATAAGACCCACGTGTACGTACTCGATACAGACATGTGCACACACATGCGCATCCCAGGCAGATCATGCTGCCTGTCTCTGCCCCTGACGTTGCCCGGCCTGCTCCACCCCCTGGTCCTTCAGCACACGTGGCACTGACTGTGGGAGCCCCCGGTGTGGCTGCCCATGGCTGGAGGGGTCGTGAGGCAGCAGGGCCGTGTACTGAGCACCCGAGACCCCTGGGGGGGCTTGATCAGGGACGGGCGTGGCTGGAGGGGCAGGGGGGAGACCGGTCAGGGGCCCAGACCACGCTGGGGGCCATGGGAGGGAGAGCCCCCATCACCCGGGGCTGAAGGCGCTTCCTGGGGCCTGGCTCTGACCTGGGCTGAGGCCGGGAGCACGAGCGCGGGTGGTCAATGTCCTATGTCCGGGATGTGGCACGGCTGGCCACAGAAGGAGCTCAGAAGTCAGGGCCAGAGGGCTTCCTGGGAGGGGCACCCTGGCAGGCGAGTGCTCGGAGGACAGGCATCGGGGCTCCAACCTCTCTAAAGAGGCACCTTTCCTGGGTGGGGGGCACAATTAGGTTCAAAGTCCACCTGCCAACAGAGCAGGACAGGCGAGGCCACCCAGAGCTCCTGCCATCATGGCGCCCTGCTGCCCGGGCCATGCTTGGGGCAGTGCCCACTGCAGGGTGCCCCTGTGCAAGTCCACATCTGCTTCCGCAGGCCCGGATGCCCATCTCTGGAAGGTGGGGCCTCTGTCTGGTTCATCCTGGTATCCCGGGCGCACGGCCCAGGCTGCACACAGTCGGCGCTCGATGTGCGCTCACACCAGCCGTCGTGTAACGGTCACGGCTGGACGGTTCCGTCTGTCCTGTTCCCCGGCCCGCTCTCACTGCCCCTGGGGTGTCTGAAGTCCCAGCGGTGCAGGGCCGCCACCCCACGCCTCTAGCCCACACCCACAAGGATGACGGCTGTGCTCCGTTCTTTCTTCCAGGTTGCAAGGGCTGCGGAGTGGAGATCAAAAACGGCCAGTCCCTGGTGGCCCTGGAGAAACACTGGCATCTGGGCTGTTTCAAGTGCAAGACGTGCGGGAAACAACTGAACGCGGAGTATATCAGCAAGTGAGTGGGTGGGGCTCACTGACCTGTCACCTGGGGGCGGGGCAGGGCTCGTCCTGTGCCCACCCTCCTGCCAGCTCCTCCCATCTGTGCCAGGGGAAGAGCCCCGGCCGGGCCCCTCTCCCTACCAGCCTTGCTTCCTTAGTGTGGTTTGCAGAGACTCCCATGCTGTTTCTGTTCACTGGGACAGAGACTTTAGCGCTCCCACCTTTGACCTTGTAAAACACCTCCCCACACCGCCCCTGGTGTCACCCTCGCCCGTGGAATTCGCCCCGCTTGCTGGTGCCTGCATCCCCTTCAGAATGCAAAGTGGACGTCAGCTGAGGCCGGCAGCAGAGCGAGGAAGAGAGGGCTGACCGGGCTCGGGTGTCACGGGTGTGACAGCACAGCCCTGTCTTCGGCCGCGGGGCCATCGGCAGCTCCCGCTGGCCGACACAAGGTCCCTGATGTGTGCTCAGGATGCAGCGATGGCTGGTTTGGGGTGCGGGGGAGCACCATTATCCAGAGGCGGTGGGGAGGGAGCTTCTGGGGATCGGGCCCTGAGCAGAGGCAGCTGGTCTGCCAGGAGTGGAGGTGCATTCTAATCCCTGGAGATCAGGAAACTGAGTCAGGTGAGCCCCCAGACAGCAGCGGGGAGGGAAGGGTTACAGGCTGAGCTCAAAGGAGCAGCTTCTCTGAGTGCAGAGCGGCTCCCTCCTGCCAGTCAGGGGCTTTTCTGGCAACTTCTATCAAAGACTGCTAGTTCTTGATGCTTTGAGGGAATAGAATCATCACAGGAATTGACTGGGGTAAAAAACTGCTGCAATAAATCTTCAGAGAATAAAACACACACACATACATGCATGCACACGCATGTGCACGCGAGAGTGGGTGTACACTGGGGGAATCCGAATCGGGTCGCTGCGTGTGCCAGTGTCAATTTCCTGGTGGACCTTGTACTCTAATTCTGTAAGATGTGAGCCTTGGGGAAACCTGGGGAAGGCCGTCCTGGTTTCTCTGTCCCATTTCTTACAACTGTGTTTGGATCCACAATTATCTCAAAATCAGACATTGCCAGTGAGAGTCCCCCCACCAAGATGAGCCTCTGTCCAGGCTGGGTCAGGCTTGGGGGGGGGTTTCTGACCGCTTGGGCCAGGACCTGTTGCCTCTGTCATAGTAAAGGGAAGGGGTGAGTGACACGCCAAGGCAGCCTTGGGGACAGAGCACTTAAAATAAAACAAAATGATGCCCAGCCCCCAGAGCGCTGCAGCCCCTCTCACCCACACAGCGTGTATGTTACTTAGCAGCCTCCAGAACAGCCCGGAATTCATGATGAGGGCGTGGTGGTGTTGCCATGGAGACGTTATCTTTGAACCTCCTGGATTTGCTGCATGTACAGCCTTTTTTGGGGAGAGGTCGGGGCCCTGAGGTCAGGGCATTTGAAGGTGGACCCTAAGGGCCCAATATACATGTCCCCTCCCCTGTGGAAGGAAGGGTTGCTTCGTTTCTGAGGCTGCAGAGAAACACCAGGACCTCACCCCTCCCGCCGGCATCTGTGTGACCCAGACAAGGTCCCGAGCTTTGAGGAATAGAGGGCGCCACTAGCTGCAGTCTCCCAACAGCTTGAGAAATCTCACCTTCTGTTAGCAGCTGAGCAAAAATCAAAACCAAACTGGGGCTTACGCGGCAACTTCAGCAGTGTGGGGTTGGGGTCGGGGGGCGGGGATGACGCACCAGAGTAACGCCCCCGACCCTGCAACCACCGTGCCAGTCGCCTCCACATCCAAGTCCCATTGGGCTGGACCTGGGGCCAGGCGGACAGCCCCATTTGGCGGTGACAATGACAGTGGCCTCAGCCACCAAGTGCCAGGCACCGGCCATACCTTGTCTTCCTTAGACCTTGCACTTACCAATCCCACTTTACAGCCAGGAAGCTGAGGCCCAGACTGGTTAAGTGACAGCTGGGACTCTGGGCATTTGAATGCAAGCCTGTTCACTCACCGCTGCCCAGCAGGAAGCATTGGCACCACCTCCGACACCGTCACTGCCACTCGTCCCGTGGCATTGACCCCATAGTGATAATTAATGAGCTTCGACTGCAGGCCGGATACTGTCCAGGCCTTGTGTCTGCGTTGTCTTCCATCCACCACCTGCAAACCAGCTGTCTCCTTACAGTTCAGTGAAGGGGGCTCGGCATTTAAGCAGCCCACCCACGGCTGCCCGGATATTCATGAGCAGTGCCCACGAGGTGTCCCGCTCGTCCCAATTTCCCAAAGCCACAAGCCACACGTGTGGCGCATAGTAAGCCCGCCTTTGCTGTGCGCAGGGAGCACGGACGCGTCGCTCCTTCCTGCGCAGCCTGATGCCCCTCACCCCTCGGATTTCGAGAGCAGGAAGCTCCCGGCCACGCCCAGGAGGGTGAGGGTTGGTCCCAAGGCACACCTGCCACTTGGCATCTTGTCACCCTCAGACCTGGTCTCCAACGTGGGCGGCTTTGTCACACCCCCTTGTCGGCTCACGTTTTTCTCCAGCGCCCCAGACCCCTTTCAGAACGAGCAGGAAGCCACCCAATGCGTAAATAGACTATTTCCCACCCCGGTTGTTAAACAGCGGACAGAATGAACTGGAAGGAAGAGCCACGTCTGCAGAAATGTCTTTTATCTCCCAGACGCAGCTTTGATTCCTTGGGCTCAGCCTTTGGAGCCCTCCACCAGCCCTCGCCCGCCGCCTGGGCAGGCGGCCCCACCTCTTGCACCTCAGTTTGTCCACCTGTGAAATGGGACGATCTTTGTGGTATTTCTCGTGGGGCTGCCCTGATGACCGAGGGGCCGTGCTGGTGCCCGTAAGTGCCCCATACACGCTGTTCAAGGGCTGTGCTGTTACCCAGAGTAGGAGGAAGTGGCCATTTGCCCCTTGGACGTGGCCGCTCTCGTTGGCAAGGACTCTGAGGGTTTGGGGGTCCTGGGGGTGCTCCCGCCATCCTGACTGCCGGCTCTGTTGCAGGGATGGGCTGCCCTACTGTGAGGCCGACTATCACACCAAATTCGGGATCCGCTGCGATGGCTGTGACAAGTACATCACGGGGCACGTGCTGGAGGTAAGGAGGCCAGCCTGGAGGCTGCAAGCATGACACTCGCCCGCTCTAAGTTCTCTGGGCACTGGGGTCTGCCCGCCCCCTAGGAGTTAACAGAGAGGATAAGAAGGTGCCTCTCGTGGCGTCTGCGGTGTATGTTGGTGCAGGAACCCGCACCCCTGAGCCTCTGCCTCCCAGCTCTGCCAGAGGACACCTTCCAAGGTCTGCCCAGTGAGTGCCACCTCCTCCAGGAATATTTCCCTGCAACACTCTCTCACCTGTGCCCTTTACACGTTGACAGAGAGGTGGGAAGATCTTGCGATCCTGGTTCAGCCCTTTGGCATCTAGATGGGAAATCTGAGGCTTGGCGGGTTGCAAAGGGAGCCTGGGAGGCAGGGCTGGGTCCACAGAGGTGGCCAGGTCACCCAGCGATCTCAGGTTGGGGCCTTTCTGGGGTGCTGACAGGTGCGTTTCTTGGTCTGGATGGTAGTTACACAGGTGTGTCCCTTTGTGAAAATAACACGTGTTATGCACTTTACTACATTTGTTCAGTAAGATCAATTCCATGGGGTGCACAGGACCAAACCCACCCCCCCGATGCTCTGGCCCAGCCTGCCCCTCCACCCCACTCTGCAGCCCCTCCTGGGCTCTGCGCTGGGGCGGGTGGATGGGCCATCCCTCGGCGAGCATATGGTCTGTTGGGGAGGGCAGAGGTAACCAGAGGACCTGGGGGGTGGGGAGGGCGCAGAGCACTGGGAGAGGAGGGGCCCTGACCCAGCCAAGGGGCCTGGGAGCCTTTGCCAAGGAGGTCACAGAAGCAGCCTCTGGGGGTGGGAAGACAGGTTGGGGTCTGAGGCCGCAGGGCCCGTGCCACCCTCCCAGACAAGGGCTTCTGAACCCTGGAAAGCCTGGGTCGGATTTGCATACTAGAGAGCTCCCTCAGGCTGCCACTGAGGCTGGACCTGAGGCCAGAGGCTGGGAGGCCAGCCAGGAAGGGCTGGGCATTCCCGCATCCCCAAGGACTCCTGCGCTGCCCGCCCCACAGCTAGAGCCCAGCCGTAGTGGGCTCAGAATGCCTTGGTGAATTGCACGTTGAGCACTGAGCTGCTTTGCTTGAAATTACACTTGACATCAGAGCTGCAGGGAGAGAGTTGCCCCAGGGCCTCAGCTCCAGGTAGTGGGGGGGAGAAGGGGTGGCCACACCCACCCAGAGGGCAGTGAGGCCCTCCCCACCATCTCCCCATTTCCCAGATGCCACAGCGGGAATGGTCCCAGGCTCTGTGCAGAGCTGTGCCCTTCTACGCCCAGAGGCCCCTGCGGGGGGCTGTGATTACACCCTCCTTGACTGTAGAGAGTTGGCAAAGCACAAATAAGGGGGGAAGCCACTGACATGCGATCATATTTAGCTGAACTTTTTGGCTGGATTCCTTCCAGTTTTTTCTCTCTCCACATGTCAGAGTTGGCATCAAACCATTTATACATTATATCCTGATTTTTTTCAACTCCCATGTCCTATTTAATGGGTTCCTATGTTTTTGTTTTGTGTTTTATGGGTCTTTTTGTAAACAGCTTTATTGGAATATAGTTCGCGTACCACGCAATTCACCTGTGTAAAGTGTGTGATTCAGTGGTTTTTAGTATCTTCACAGAGCTGGGCATCCATCCCCACAGTCCATGTTAGGGCGTTCTCATTACCTTAAGAAGAAGCCTGTACCCCTTAGCTGTTCCTCCCCTACACCCTGAGCCCGTGGCAGCCACCAGTCTACCTTGGTCTCTGTAGAGCTCCCTGTTCTGGACGCGTCATATAAATGCAGTCATCCACTATGTGGGGTCCTCTGTGATCGACATCTGTCTCACAAGATAACATTTCCAGGTGCATCGCACATAAGAGTGTTTCAGTGTTGCATCATATTTCATTGTAGGAGTAGACCAGAATGTTTTAGGCTGATCATTCATTGTTGGACATAGCACCGTTTTCCACTTTTTTTACTACGATAAATAACACTGAGATGAACATCTTTTTTTTATTGCGTTTCTAGTTTTCCTTAAGATTCATTCACAGAAGTGTAGAAACTGAGCCAACAACCATGAACTTTGTAAGGGTTCTTGACACTTATAAACTGCTTTCCAGAAAGTTTATTCTGATTTGCATGCTTATCAACAGAGCACGATCCTTCCCCTCTCCCACCCTGGGTGTAATCTTTACGTAATCCTTTGTCAAGTGATAGGGGAGAACGTGGGGCCTCGCTGTTGTTTGCTTCCCTCCCACCCCTAGTGGACACCCCTTCTTTGTCATTTTTACCCAGTCATAGTTCTTGCATTTCAGTTATCTTCCGTCAGCATTGCCCGTTTATACACTGGGGGTTCCATGTCTTTCTGACGGAGTTGGGCGGGTGGTCACGTGATGAGACTGTTGACATCTCGTCTGCTGAACATCTTGTATGTTTTTCTTGGGTGGCGATCACACCTCGTGTTTGTACCCCCATCCTCCGAACGTGCACGAAGGATGTGTCCTCCCCCCCGTACCCCACGGTGACGTCTCACCTGGCCCTCCCGTCTCTCCAGGGCTCTCTCCTCACCCAGACCCTGCTGCAGACCCTGCTCTGGGGGAGTCTGGGCACCCGCCACCTCCGGCAGTGGCACTGAGGCTTCTGGAGGATTCCCCCGGCCAGGGCCCCACCTGCCACAGTGCCTGGCAGTTCAAGCCTGTTTCTCTCTGTTCCCCCAAAAGACTATTCCAGACCTTCCTCGCTCTCCTGGGCTGCCGCCCTCCCACCCCAGCCGGCCAGCCACAATGACCTTGTCTAAGATTTAACAGAGAGAGGGGCAGACGTCACTCAGGGCTGTCTGCGAAGCTTCTGCCCGACCCGCTCCTGCCCTTCCTGACGGAGGCTCTGTCTCTCCTCCCAGCCACAGCCCCCAGCCCTGTGCTCCGGTCCGATCCCCGCCCGCCTCCTCTGGAGCCTTACCCTGCCATCTCCTTTCCTCCCTGGGGGCCACAAGGCACCCTCCTGGTGGCTTGTTGAAACAGCTCAAGTCGCCCCCATTTAAAGAGACTAGAAACCCATCACCCTCACCTGTCCAGGTCCGCCAGCCGCTGCACCATCTCTTCAAGCAGCTCCCCAGAGCGCCGGCCCCCTCCCGCCCTGCTTGGTGCCCTCACTCTGTGGGCTTGTGTCTG